AAGCTTCCTGAATGATTTAAGACAAACAACACATAGACATAGGTGTACTAATAACTGAGAAGAAGTGTTTAATTAATTAATTTTAAATCACATAATTATCGATTTTAGTTTCACGTAGTTAGATGAATAGACAGACAGACAGACAAGCAAATAGGCAAACGGATAGGCAGATGGATGGATAGACAGACAGATAGATAAACGAACAAACAACGGATAACATACACCATATTTATTCACACTGACACTAACTAAGTAACTAAAACAAGAATTACCTACAATAAAATATGTATATAATATCATGTAGAAAGGCATTGGTGTTTTATTGATTTATTTTCTATGAATAATTGGCTGGCATTTTTGTTTCTCTAGATTTTTGTTTTATTTCTCTCTCTCTCTCTCCTTCTCTCGGATGTTTGTGATCTCAGCACGAAAATCACCTGCTGATTTTATTGTACTCTAATTACACACACACACAGAGGAATTTGATTTATCACTAACGGAATTATAGAGAAAATGAAAAGATAATTCAGCGAAGAAAATTTTCTTTAATTTCATACATTTATTCCCCTTAATGAATTTGAATAAAGCAAGAACTACAGTTTTAGCAGAATAATAAAGTGGTACCGTCACATCGTTTATTTCGTTGCCTTCTCGTCAGCTGCTTACAGGGTAAAGACATTATTAAATGTATCCATAGAAACGATTTTAACATACTTGCACAGAGTTCATTTTAAACAGAAATCAATCAATCGATCAATATATGCATGCAGTAATAATATATTCATATATGTATGCAATATTAAACACTATTCCGAACAATAATAATCACACACAATGAAAACTTTTCAGCATCTCGCATTCGGATGAAAATATCCAGTTACCAGGTGGGCAAAGAAAGACTTTCTGAAAGCATAAGTCAGGTTTTAGGCGCTTGATGATAATGGCTTCAGCAAACTTAAGGAGAATTGTGCTCTTTCGCTTATTGATAATTTTGAACGACGTCCACCTCATGACCCGTGTCGAGGAGATGCCTGGCGAAAGAAAGAAGGGCATATCTACGATTTTCTGAACATGTACCAAAAACCCTATGTCTAAAGGGAACAAATGCTTTAAACAGTGCCATCGCCAGGCATCTCCTCGACACGGGTCATGAAGTGGACTTCGAAAAGTCATTCAAAATTATCAATAGGCAAAAGAGCTCAATTCTCCTTAAGTTTACTGAAGCCATTTCCATCAAGCGCCTAAAACCTGATTTGTGCGTTCAGAAAGAAGCAGTTATCAGTCTTTCTTTGCCCTGGTAACTGGATATTTTTCATCCGAATGCGAAATGCTGAAAAGTTTCCATTGTGTATGATTATTATTGCTCGGAATTGTGTTCAATATTGCATATATATGTATATATTATTAGTGTATGTGTATATTGATCGATTGATTTCTGTTTAAAATGAACTCTTTGCAAGTATGTTAAATTGTTTTTGTAGATACATTTAATAATGTCTTTGCCCTGTAAGCAGCTGACGGGGAGGCAACGAAATAAACGATGTGATGGTACCATTTTATTCTGCTAAAACTGTGGTTCTTGCTTTGTTCAAAAATTTTCTTTATCGATGAAATCATCTTCAGAGGCTGTTCAGCAACAGTTGTATTTATGTTATTTGGTTGGAGGATTTCATCATGAGCTGACAACAACTACAGAACCATTCGTTTTACTTTGGGACTCTTCAGCAGTACGTTCCCACCCACCCCCAGAGGCTTCGAACTTCGGACCTTCTGGTTACAAGGCGAGCTAGCTCGAAGACCATTAAGCAGCCTCTGGGAACCGATCCAATGGCCAGCCAGCCAGCCTATGAACCCTAACTTCCGCCAGCTAATTCATGACATAGAGTGACCACTAGCCAGTGTCATGTCGGTGGCGAGTACTTGTCCTCACAATCAACCTGCTATACCCTACTGGTGACGACTTCCCATTAGAACCCCAGGTAACTAACTATCTGAATACGGCCAGTCGCTAGTGAGCGTCAGATCAACTTTCAAATATTGGTTTTGTATGGATTTTGTTCACAGTAAGAGAGAGAACAATTGGAAAACCAGTCAGGGAGTACTGCACAGCCGGATGTTTCGTCAGCGTAGTTTGGGACTCTTCATCAGTACGTACCCACCCTCAGAGGCTTCGAACCCAGAATCTTCTGGTTACAAGGCGAGTTAGCTCGTAGACTATTTAGCCAGCCAGTCCATGGATTCTAACTTCTGCCAACTCATGACATGGCTGGACCACTTCGCAATGTCTTCTTCAAAGAGTTACTGCCTCATCTTCAACCTGCTGCACCGTACTGGTCACGGCTTTTCACTAGAACCCCAGGTAACCGCCTGAATAGAGCCAGTCGCTAGTGAGCATCTCATTGATATTCAAGTACTGGTTTTGTAGGGATCTTGTTTGATTGGTTGGTGGATTTCATCATGAGCTGACAACAGTTAGAGAACCATTGGAAAACCATTCAGGGAGTACTGGACAGCTGTTTCGTCCTAGTTTTTTTATTTACCAAAAATGGATAGTAGTCCATTATTGAGTAATAGGTGTTGGGGGGGGTGGTATTGACATAACTGATATAATTACTCAGAAGTGGTTTTAGAAGTAAAACAAAATAAAAGTTGTAAATTACGTAATATCAAGGGATTGATTATTGAACAAAGAATATTCTTTTCGATAATTTAGAAGCCTCAATAGCTCCATACGAGAACACCTGATTCAAACTGGCCACAAAGCCATCATTAAAGAGGCCTTCTCCATCATCTATCGGGTGTCAAACAAATTGCCAAAATCATCCAGGTACCGCATACTCCAAACACCATAGACTATCACGATTCACCTGAGACAACCTGTTCTCTGTGTGCAAAAAAACAGGTCTAACGGCTATTACTGCTCTGGCCTGCTGTGGAGTTTGCAAATTGAACGAAATATTCCCATATTGAGTCATAAGAAAAAGGCGTAAACAGCGAAGAAACTTTTCTTCTCGACGATTCATTTTCATGAGAAGGAAAATTATAGTAAGAAATTTACTCTGGCCACGTTAGGGCGAGTGAATGTATGTGGCGCTTTTGAATGTAGAGGTCCGGTTTCAGATCCCTAATAGGTAATGCTTCAGCTATGTACAGATGGCATATGCGAAGTCTCTTTGCACGATATTGAGGGACTCTGTGTAGCAATGTGAAGCATTCATGAGAGATGACAAGGTGTTCGAGGATGGAGCTGTTACTATTCTTCTTTTCTCCTCTGGCTATCTAACCAAGCTGGACAGTGTTCCAGAATACGTTTGTGGACTTGACGTACGCAACGTACGGCCGATATTCTTTGCTCCACACGAACAAGTAAATTGATAAATACACGTAGGTTGCAAATTCATAAATACAGCCCTTTACATCGGCCCTTTTGTTATGGCCCTCCATCCTGTACATATAAATTCTCCTACCCGTTGTCATTACACTTACACACTGACACAATACAAAGCACATAAATTTCAACCTTGAAAGACCCTTTTTCTCTACCTTCGTCCTTGACATGATCACTCATCCATCTGAAGTTTATAATCAATATGAATAGAACTTAATAGGAACATGACTCATGAGGATTTATTACCACTCATTCGTTGTCATTCATAATTATTTACTTTGTAATATTGGTGATCAATTTAGTATTACAGTTTTACATATTTAATTCCATTCAAGATTTTCCCGTCGATTGATTGAACCGAAGTGCTCGGTCTCAGGTTGACATGCTTGTCGGCTTCTTGTGCAGATGCTTCGACGATGTCTGGCCATGTAATTAGAAGTTAACTGGTGAATGGTGACTAGCAGTGGAATCCAGGATAACGCGCATTTCATCCTATTTGGGACTCGTCATCTGGATGTACCTGCATTCCTCAGTCAGTGAGTGATGATGATGTTCCCACCGAGGCTCGAACCCAGTGCCCATAGTTTCAAACGCCACAAAGTTATCCATTAGACCACTTAGGCCATGAGAGCCACCTCTTGTGCAATGAACGGGTCATATTAATTAATATGCATCCAGATGACGAGTCCCAAATAGGACGAAATGCGCTTTATCCTGGATTCCACTGCTAGTCACCATCCACCAACTAATTTTACATATTACCACATACATTATATATTTTGGACCATAATCTATTCACAGTCTCATTGCAAATAACTTTTGGAATTCTGATCTAACTGATTCGATGTTACTCTCTTTTGAAAAAAAACCACTCATGTTGTCAATAACAATCATTCTGTCATTATTATGTATGGATATATAACTGTAGTACCTGATGAAGAAGAGGTTATCTAGAAGAATATTATTTATTCAATAATCATATTTTTGAAATTTCGAATTTTGTTTTATTCCTTTACTTCAGGCTAGAGGCTTGAAGTTTCGGTAGCTAGCCTCATGCTCAACCTCTCCTCTTCACCAGTTTTTTATAACTGGCTAAGTGAGATAAAGGAGTCCGTCGGCCGGGGATCGAACCTTGGACCACGTGCGTGGTTGGCGATCATTCTACTATCTGTGCCACCGACGCAATGAAATTTCGAATGGATATCTTTAATCAATTATGTAATACTCAACAATGGCATAAAGGAAGAAAGCGTTAGAAATTTGATAAGGTTAGAATTGTTATTGAGTAGGGAGAAGAAAGGTGGTAGTTGAGTGTCAGTTTAACAAGTGTGATGACAGCTTTTGATGTAAATAATAATAGCTTTATTTGAAACAGTAGTTTTTGGTACATATAGGGAATCTTCAGCATGTAGTACAGTTTATTTCATGATATTAGATGGTTGGAGGCAATCGGCAGGAAGCCTTGGACCTAGGTTTCGTGCTAGTTGGTACTCAGCAGCAAGGCTTATCTGCATCCTTGAAGGGACTCATGTCCCTTCTGAGATTCGAACCCGCGTCACCCAGTGCTGCAGTCAGAGACATTACCACTGAGCTATTTGGGCTCGTGATTGACCTCCTGTAGGACTGTAGTGGATATTTTGACTTGACACTAGTAACTAGTGTGATGTTTCTAGTCCTCTTTTTGGTGCATACTGAATCCCATCAGTCAGGTTTGTAATGTGGCCACCATTCTAGGTAGCTCACCAACAAGGTGCACATTGATTTGATGATATTAGATGGGTGGAGGCTGATGAATGATGCTGATGAGGTCAGGCAAGGCTTCCTGCCGATTGCCTCCAACCATCTAATATCATCAAATCAATGTGCACCGTGATGGCGAGCTACCTAGAATGGTGGCCACATTACAAACCTGACTGTCAGAATTCAGTCTGCACCAAAGAGAAGATTAGAAACAACACACCAGTTACTAGTGTCAAGTCAAAATACAGTTTATTTCACCTAATTACCTCATTACACGGGTAATAATTAAAACAAGACATTTATATAGATAACATTATTCATATTATGGATCGGGTCCTAGTGGCTTAATAATCTACGAGCTAGCTCGCCTTGTAACCAGAAGGTCCTGGGTTCGAACTCCTTGTGATGGGTGCGTACTAATGAAGAGTCCCAAACTACGCTGTCCAGTACTCCCTGACTGGTTTTCCAATGGCTCTCTAATTGATGTCAGCCCATAATGAAATCCTCCAACCACTCAAGTGGAAATATTAACAACAATATAATAATGAAAAAGTGAAACGAGGCTCGTTTACGTAGAGTTCCTCAGTAAGTTGGTAGTGTCCTGCCTTACACCTTTCTCATCACATAAAATGTGTGTTAAACAAGGTATTGTGGAGATTTTGTGCTTAGTCATCCAAGACTGTATAGTCTTCTATAGTTTCTTCTAGTCCCCTATGTGATGAGATGCAGCAAGGGGAGAGTTGTGTGTACGCAGAATATGTTCATAGTCTGAGAAGATATAATATTGTCTAATTTCTTGTATCAGTGCATGTGTCTATCTACAACAACAGTATTGACGAGTTGGTTTAGTGACATCCCTACCCCACCCACCCTACTGACAGTCTTTAGTGTCTTTCACAGTGTAGCTGAGTCTTCGTTACTTAGCCCGGGAAATATTAAGGGGGAGGGGAATAGAGAAGAATAGGTAGAATACAAGAATTGACAAACTGTAACAGTAGAGAGTGAGTGAGATTGTCTTGACTTCCTTATGTAGAACGTTAAACGGAATACCTTTCTAGAGACTAACATGATGTTTGGGAATACCAGTGAAGATCAGAGGAAGTAGACGGTCGAAGGTGTTTAACATTCGATTTATTTTCAACTTCTGTGTCATCTATGTTAGTGGAACCGTGCGAACTCACCAGTTCATGTATAATTTGCCATTGCCTCTAAAGGTGAAATTAACAACCTGACTGATATTTGGAGAGATTTAACTTAAGACCGTTTGAAAAAGACCACTAACTAATTCTTTTTTTAATTGAAATGTTATTGATTTTGGAACAATCTGTCTGAGAAGTAAGTGGGTATAGAAACAGTCAGATCATCGACACACTTAACAAAGTTTTGGTTTCATCAATCAGAATGGGGCAAGTCATGTTAGAAGGAAGAAAACAGAAAATGAGAAAGAACACCACCTTGAGGAACATCAGCTAGGGTAAGCGAATCAGTGGAGTACTGCCGATTATTTACAGTGTATTGCTTCCTAACAGAAAAATGAGCCTGCTTGTGTCCCAGTAAGCCTGTTTAACAAAAGAGGCCTAGGCACAGAGTCAACGGCAGATGCTTGATCAAGGAAGTCACACTGAACATGTGTGTGGCACCTCTTTCTAAATTAGAGGCAATATTATGATATAAGACAACGGTGACATCTAAAGTACACCTTTATATATATGTCCAAACCAAGTTCACTTTTAACAGTTTCAAAAAAATGTGGGCATTAGTTATATATGATATTCATTATAATAAAGATTTTTTTTGGTATTTCCCAATGAATGAAAAACAAAACGATTTTGTTGTTTTTACTGACGTTTCGCTATTTAATGCTGCTGCTAATAGCTTTATCAAAGTAGTTATTATTAAACCAGAATTTACAAAATCCACTCAGCTTATATATATATGACAAATTAATCATCGTTCGTCGGCATGGGGTCATTTTTGCGTTGTTCTCAAGTCGGCCAATTGGTAAAAATAACAAAACCAAGTGCAGACGATATCAGAAAAGTACTCAACAAGCAGACATCAGAGTTTTCTTCAAAACCTCGGACACACTGCAAAGCAACCTTGTCCATATAAAAGACCAAATCCCTAAATCTTTATCTAATTGTGTCTATAAAATAAAATGCTTAGAATGTGATACGATATACATCGGACAAACATCTTGAAAAGTCAAAATCAGAAGAAATGAACACCGTAGAGCATCTGTTTGACCACTGAGAAATCCGGTTGAACTAGAAAAACTTGAAAAATCATCAGCCATTGGTCTACATGCTATAGAATCACGCCACAAAATTGATTTGGACAATATTGAAATCATCATCCAGAAAAACTTAGGGAATCAAAAAGAACGTCTAATATCAGAAGCATTTCATTTCAAGTGGAATCCAAATTGTCTGAATAGGAATGGTGAACTAAAACAGAATTTAACCTGGTTTACAATACCCAACCCCCATCCCCCATGAAATGACAAAATCAACATGAATGTGATAAGCAATTTCATTATGTAAACACACGCTGCTTTTATAATTTTGCACACTTATCAAATCCAATAATCTACACCTGGCTTTGTTATCACAACCGATTGGCCAATTTGACAAAGCGAAAATGCCCCCATGCTGAGGAACGATGATTAAGTTGCTATTTATAAGTGGATAATACTTTGACAAAGCTACTAGAGGCATTAAATAGCGAAACGTCAGTTAAAGCAGTATCGTTGATATATATATATATATATTCTTAGAAGACAGGAAAAATATGTTGGGCTGACTAAAAGACTATGGAATATTTTGACTTTGTGGATAATTTATGACTAATGTCACACAAATTAGATCTACAAATGAAAGGGGATAAAGTTATATACTACTAACTACTCACCTGAATCAATCAATTAGTAATATATACTTTAGTGCGATTATGCTTGCCTTCTTAATTACCATTTATGCCACCAAGAAGATCAATACATTCTGCGTGTCTGTGATTTGTGTATTGTAAGAACCTCACTTCGAAACCAAGACAAACCTTCATTAGAATATGCAGTTAGCAACAATACTAAGGTTGGGATTTTCAAAACTGATATCAAGTCTGTTGTTCTGTGTGGTTCAGAGACTTGGAGTGAGTCTAACAGAAAGCATTAAAAGCGGGCTTCAGATTTTTGTCAGCAGCTGCCTACATTTAACAGTGTAGATCAGATGACGAGAAAGCATCAGTGGAAATGAACCAACCAGCAAGTGGGTAGAATTAAATAGGGATGGAGAACCCGAATAGCTCAGTGGTAACATCTCTGACTACATCACTGGGTGAGACGGGTTCGAATCTCAGAAGGGACATGATTCCCCTTCAAGATTCCAGGTACATCTGGGGGCGTCGATGGTTCAGGGGTAGAATACTTACCAACTATGTATGTGGTCAGGGGTTCGACCCCCAGGTGATGCACTCCTGAACCTCCTTCAGCCGGTAGTAAAACCAGTAAACAGGGAAGGTCGGGCGTGGAGCTAGAGCCCCCCCTCACCGCCGTAAAAATAAAACCACTTCTACCGAGACTTCACAGTTTTAGCTTGAAGCCCTGCGTTCCACTGGGAACGTAAAGGAGTAAAATAGTTGTATAAATAAATAAGGATGGATAAGACATACACACGGAAAAACAGTTGGGTGACATTACACTCAAGGCAATCGCACCAGTGGTTCACGAATGGCAGACAACGAGTTAGGTGTGGGTCTGAGGGTGACATGGAGAAGATCCTTTGAGGAGGAAACAAAAGTTTATAGGTAACTGGGGAAGCCAGTCAGCTAAAAAGGAGTGAAGAAAACAAGATGGAATGCAGACATACTATTGAGACCTTGTACTCTACTCGAAACTCAAGGGAATATTACTGATGATAATTTTTGTTTCACATATTTAACAGCAACTAAGAGAGGAAACATGCAGGTTCAACTCTAGTAGAATACAACTATATACACACATATCATTCCTTTGAGTCCTTAGTAGAACAGACGTAAGTTTCGAAGCTTAAACTTCGAAGTTTCAGTATAGGAGGTGTTACTCTTTCCTTTTATGAAGTGAGGAGGGGGGTTGGTAGATTCACGCCCTCAATCGCCACCTCTTTACCGGGCTAAGTAACGTCTAAGTGAGGTTTAAGAATGCATTCGTGGGGGATCGAACTCAATACCACATGCATAGTTAGCAAACATTCTACCAGTGTACCACTGACGAAGTTGAGGTCCCATTGCCAACTATGATCTGTGTGTAGTTGACCAAATCTCCTGAGACGATGTCCATATAACTGACTAATTTTTAATTTAAAAAGGAATGAGATCACAGAATTGATCCTCAGCTGTTGGATAGGTTGCACTTTCATCTGAAAATCAGTGAAACATCATCTTACCAGTCATATGAATGTAGGATTAGTAAATGTTTGTTAACTATAACCACTGTGAGTACATAAAAGGCACAAAGAGAGAGAGGTGCTGGTAGTCTGGCATCTTAAGAAATAACACCAATCGATGTATCATATGCATATCTTCATTGCTTTAGCCATTTGTGCCGAAACACATACGACTTTATCTGGGAATAAGTCTGTAGCGGTCAAACTGAAAGATGTCAACGTAAGCTATTGAAGGCTAGTTTGCTTATCTGGACTTGAGATGGGACAACAGCCTAACTAAGTACGCATATACAATGTAAAGACTGCGGAATACTTCGTCAACGAGGTGGTGAAACGTGTGTGCTGCATTCCGCGTCATCAACTTCCTAACTTCACATATACTACATCGACTGGTTTAAGAAATTATTGTTTATTTTTCTTGATGTTCCCCTGATGAAAGAAAGGTTCTTTGCTATTT